TTAAAGGAGACAGAATTTAACTTTGCTCTGGGTGAAGCACAAGCACTCATATAACGTTATATATTTAATCAATTTTAATGAAGCTAGTGATGACGATTTGACAAAGCAAAGATTCATTCTTTCACATGAGCAAAAGATAAAAAAAAGATAAAAGAAAGAAAGAATTTTTTTAGCAATATTTAAGATTGTTTGTCTCAGTAACATGTACTTGGAGACTTGGAGTGAGGAAACAACACGAACATAATCTTTATTTCTTTTCTTTTAGGTGTTAAATCAGAATCAAGAATATAATAATTCAATGAGTTATATTCCCATTTTGATTAAAAGTACTATATGCTGTAGTAATTACTATTTAGATGGCTGATCAATTTTGATGGGACTGTTTCCTTCTTATGGATATATATAAAAATATATAAAACGTAAATATGGAGGAAACAGGGAGGAGAGGAATAATAGAAAATACATGACGTTCGTACAATAATAACATTTGGACGTCAACATAACATAAAATCAAAAAGAAATTGGGATAAAAACCAAAAAGAGGTTTCTCCAAATATCCCTTGTAGATAAATGGATTATTTATTCCATTTCTACAAAAAGGTAAAAACTGCATATACCATACTCGGATGTTCGAACGATAAGAAACAGTACTGTTTGAACTCTAAAATTTACAGTTTCATCATTCCAAGCTAAAGCTATGATGAGCAGGTGGACTTGTAAACAGCAGCAAGCATCACGAAGTTTGCTTTGCCAAATAGCTACAAAATTTGCCATCTGATTTGCCTAGTTATCTTTGCACCTAAAGTAAATAGAAAAAGAAAGATACAAACAAACATTAATAGAATCTCATGTGGTTTTCTTTGTTTTATTTTTTTTGGAAGCTGATTTCCCCACTCTCTTTTTCTCCACCCACACTCTCTTTTGCTTTTTAATACTTTTTAATCAATTTTTTTCTTTTTATTTCCTATTCTATTCTTACCCTACATTAATTTTTTTTTTACTTCATTTTTATATTATTATTATTTTCTTTATACTTAATTTTCCAACTTACACTCCATTTTCAGTATTAAAGGGGGGAAAAAAAAACTAATTTCTTACTCGATTAAAAGAAAAAAAAAATACTGAAAAATGGAGTGCAAGTTAGAAAATTAAGTATAAAGAAAAAGAATTAATATAAAAGTAAAGTAAAAAGAAATTAATGTAGGGTAAGGGTAGAATATGAAAGTGAAAGAACAAAATTAATTAAAAAGTAAAATAGAGTGTAAGTAGAGAAAAAGAGAGTGGGGAAATCATATCCCTTTTTTTTTTTTTTGGGAATTTTAGTTTTGTTTTTTTTCCCTTTTGTCCCAGATATATTTTCCCACTCTAAAGCCCAACCCAATTTGGCCAGTCCTTCCTCCCAAGTAAAAATGTCCACCCATGGCCATGAGTTTCGAGGTAAAAGTACTCGGAAAGCTTCTCATATTTTGTTCTATCTTTTATTTTACAGCATTAAGGTTTTATTCAACGAGACAAATGAATCCTCGTTTGATTATGAAATTTCAACTTAGACCTACTTAAATTAGGAGCGACGAAAGTTTGGTTTAGTTTGGCTTGGTTCAACTTTGATCTCAAATCACACATCAAATTAACATATCCATGTATGTGTATTAGCAAATGGTAGTAATCAATAAGAAAATATCAAATATTAATATATCAATGTTTGGTTTGGATAAAGTATCATGATTTATTCTTTATTGGGTACAGAATTTGAAGGCAAGCTTCTAATATAAGTAACTAACTATCCACAAATCACAGTATATATAATAGGGAACTTCTCCGTAAAGAATTTTATGTTAATGGTTGATTAAAAATTTCTAATCTCAACTATTCATGAGATGCGTCAGTGGGTTTCATGGTACATATGCAATTCAATGAATGAGATTAGAAATCCTTAACTAATCATTAACGTATATAAAATCTTTAATGGAGCATTTTCTATATTTTAGCGAAGAGGGTTTCTCAGATGATAATGCAGAGGCACTCTCAAGCAACAGACAAGGTACGTCAGCACTGATTAGCAGTGGGCAGGCAGAGGGCATTTCATTTCGATCATTTCATTTCATTTCATGCAGATATTTGTTATAGAAAAAAGGGTTGATTGATCCATGCCTCTTCCATTCCACAGCTGTTTGTTTCTGTATTTTTCCATTACCTGTCATGCAAATTTTGAAGTCCATCTTTTTGTCACAATGGGTTTGCAAGAATCATTCATGTTCATAAATATGATATGCACCTGCCCACTGTCCCTTCATCTCTGCAATTATGCTCTGGCTTTGCCGGTTTTGTTGGTTTTCTACATTTTCTTTCTTTCTCGTCTTTCAACCATTTGATGTGATATTGAAATCCAAAGCATTGCCTTCGCAGAGAATAATGCTTTCTTTTAAATTATAATATATATATATATACAAACTTTTTTTCTCTTCTGATGAGTTCTGAGAATAATAATATGTAGGGTTTAGGGAATCTACAATGTTCTTTTTCTTAAACTTATAGAAATAATCAGCAGTGTGTTGGGAAGAAAAAACACACCTTGGGGTTATGTTGGTGAAGATAATATCGGGGAAACAAATTTGTGAGTAAATTCTGCGAGCTTTTTGTATTGAATATAGCTAGCAAACTTATCTTTGTACATGTGAGCTCATTACTCTCTTCTTTTTCATCCTTGGTCGAATAATCCAATATGATAAGTTAAATTGGTGAAATTATTATTAATTATGACATGACATATATAACACGAATAGTGAGTATAATCAGGCAGTGCATCTTTTGGTTAAGCATGCGCTTGTGTCTCCTAACTTTTTATCTACTTAATAAAGTCCATTTTTAATCCAAAGAGAAAAAAACACGAATCGCAAATTATGATACGACACGACTTAATTATAATTATTATCTAATAATCTGGAATTGAGAACTCATGTATCACGTGGCAGATTGAATGACAAAGCCATCGATCGTTAAGTGGTGATATAAAGAAGAAAAACATGAACAACAAAGCCATCGATCAAAGAGTTGCCTCTTTGAGGTGTGATATTCATTCCTTACGGTGGTGATAAATGCATATTCTAAGCATGTAGGCAGACACAATACTATTCAAAGGTTAAAAGGTTGCCTTAGCTTTGTTGATATGACTGAACAAAGCAAGCAGATCCCATGTAAATTGTAATGCTGGGATGCCTTGGCTGCTTATAAATTCATATAAAATTTGTAAAGCCAGATCAAACTTTTGGTGTTACGTACTAATACGCATGGTTTCAATTCCTCATGCCGGAGTCGGCAATAAAGCAGAGATTTTCGTAATTAATATAATTAACAAGTTAATGATCCATAGCTGTTGCTACTTTCAATTTGTTTAACAAACTAATTAAAGGAGACAGAATTTAACTTTGCTCTGGGTGAAGCACAAGCACTCATATAACGTTATATATTTAATCAATTTTAATGAAGCTAGTGATGACGATTTGACAAAGCAAAGATTCATTCTTTCACATGAGCAAAAGATAAAAAAAAGATAAAAGAAAGAAAGAATTTTTTTAGCAATATTTAAGATTGTTTGTCTCAGTAACATGTACTTGGAGACTTGGAGTGAGGAAACAACACGAACATAATCTTTATTTCTTTTCTTTTAGGTGTTAAATCAGAATCAAGAATATAATAATTCAATGAGTTATATTCCCATTTTGATTAAAAGTACTATATGCTGTAGTAATTACTATTTAGATGGCTGATCAATTTTGATGGGACTGTTTCCTTCTTATGGATATATATAAAAATATATAAAACGTAAATATGGAGGAAACAGGGAGGAGAGGAATAATAGAAAATACATGACGTTCGTACAATAATAACATTTGGACGTCAACATAACATAAAATCAAAAAGAAATTGGGATAAAAACCAAAAAGAGGTTTCTCCAAATATCCCTTGTAGATAAATGGATTATTTATTCCATTTCTACAAAAAGGTAAAAACTGCATATACCATACTCGGATGTTCGAACGATAAGAAACAGTACTGTTTGAACTCTAAAATTTACAGTTTCATCATTCCAAGCTAAAGCTATGATGAGCAGGTGGACTTGTAAACAGCAGCAAGCATCACGAAGTTTGCTTTGCCAAATAGCTACAAAATTTGCCATCTGATTTGCCTAGTTATCTTTGCACCTAAAGTAAATAGAAAAAGAAAGATACAAACAAACATTAATAGAATCTCATGTGGTTTTCTTTGTTTTATTTTTTTTGGAAGCTGATTTCCCCACTCTCTTTTTCTCCACCCACACTCTCTTTTGCTTTTTAATACTTTTTAATCAATTTTTTTCTTTTTATTTCCTATTCTATTCTTACCCTACATTAATTTTTTTTTTACTTCATTTTTATATTATTATTATTTTCTTTATACTTAATTTTCCAACTTACACTCCATTTTCAGTATTAAAGGGGGGAAAAAAAAACTAATTTCTTACTCGATTAAAAGAAAAAAAAAATACTGAAAAATGGAGTGCAAGTTAGAAAATTAAGTATAAAGAAAAAGAATTAATATAAAAGTAAAGTAAAAAGAAATTAATGTAGGGTAAGGGTAGAATATGAAAGTGAAAGAACAAAATTAATTAAAAAGTAAAATAGAGTGTAAGTAGAGAAAAAGAGAGTGGGGAAATCATATCCCTTTTTTTTTTTTTTGGGAAATTTAGTTTTGTTTTGTTTGCCTCTTGTCCCAGATATATATTCCCACTCTAAAGCTCAAGCCAATTCTGATTGGAATAGGGCCGAGTTGAAATTTGGCCCTTTTTTTGGTACACGAAATTTGGACTTTTTTTATAAATAAAAAAAATTGGCAGAAGAGTTGAAATTTGGTCTTGAAAATGCCCATTTCACCACATATTCCAATACCAGTAGAGCCAAAAAACACAGTAATTTACTGAAAAGATAGTTGAAAGAGAAAATGATAAAGGCAAAAACAAAAGGTTTCCAGTAACCCTACGTTTTTCATTTCTTTGGGAACGAAGAGTTGAAGATATAAGAACAACTTGACTGGGGTAAATTAAACTACAACCCAGTCTTTGATGCCAAAATGTACCTAAACCTGCCAGACATCTAAACTACAGGGGGTGTTAGACAAGGCAATCAAAGCTCTTCCAAATCACTCCGCCCAGAAAGGACTCATTGCCTGATGGTGAGCTCGGCCTTGAGATGGAGAACAGAATCGATGAAATAGATGCTGTCATCGGCCATGAATGACGTCCAGGGTATACCAAACAAGTTGCGATAGCCAACAGCCTTCCCTCCGGTGAAAGTGTAATTTCCTTTGTATTTACTCAAATAATCCTCCCCGGGCTTTGACCTTGCTGAGAACTCATAGTCAACTGTAAAACTAACCGATCCCTTCTCTTGCATCCCCAAAAACAGCCCAAAGCAATGAAATGAGCTTTGTTGGTCCATGTTGCAATGGGCTGATAAGAAAAATCCCTGCCCACCAAGGTGAAAAGCCTGTGAGTACACCCGACCAGCTGGAAATAACCGTGCACATTCTTCGCGCTTTAGGTCCAGGAACACAATACATTGGTCACGGGGTTGTTCAAATTCCACCAGCTTGATTGGCCGGTATTTGTAAGACCGCTCCCCAAAGCGACGATCCCCTAGAGCAAGGGAGCGCTGCCTGAATGGTGCCTCAGCCTTAAAAAACAAAGACTCAAGTACTATCTTTGATGCAAGTGCAGGATCAAAGTCATTGCAGGTTAGGACCTTCCTAAGCTTCCGGCACGACATGTGTGGAAAACGAATGAGCCGACCAAGGCGTGAGCCAAGGACTTCTCGTCGTTCTTCCAGTTTTGGGTAATGGGACCGAGCCCACCTTAGCACAAAATCATAAATGCCATCCTCTGACGCCACCTGGAGATCATCACTAGACAGTACAGCCTCAACACCAGCCAGGGGCAAGTTCAGCACCTCATCCTGGAACCTGGTAAGAAATATAGCAGTTCAAGAATTATACTGTTGAATATGCAATTCACTCAATAAAGATAACACATTAATCAATTAATATTGACTGATTTAATCAACCAAGAATGGAGGGAATGGACGCTTTACAAGAACTCAGGCCATGTAAGTAAATGTTAATACTGGAAGAAAAATAGGGAAAACAAAAGGTGGTTGCATGTTTAGGAAATAAAAAGGCTCTGAAAACTTATTTAAACAAACATAAACAAGAGGCCTTCACAAATGGGTGGAAACAGAAAAGGATTAGAACACTTGAAAACTTCAAGTAAAATAAAAATAAATAAATAAATAAATAAATAAATAAATAAATATATATATATATATATCCAAAAGAGACTAGAGTTGTGTGAAAGAAGCTCACTTGGATATCTCTTTGTAGCATCCAGCAAGGAACTGTTTTGCTGCATCTGTCAGTGGCTGAACTGCATCAGCCATCAAAACACTAGATGGAAGGTCCAAATAAAGCAAAGCAGACTCACGAGTCATAGGAAACTTCCGCAATTCCCTACTGCAATATCTCATGCAAGATGCAACCTCAAATTTGTCAGCAACCTTGAACACATCCAACAAAGCAGGAGGTGTTATCGTGGATAGAGTGTTACTATACATAAAATTAATAAGGTCCATGAGGGCAGCTTCTTCTGCATTTGGATTAAAGAAAGAAAGTGTAGTTATTGTTAGAGAAGGCTAACACAAAATTTAATGATTTTCTTTTTTTGAAGAAATAGCATAACTACAGTTTGCAAATTTCCTTACAGAGATAGATCAACATTTCTAACTATCTGATAATACAATTTGGGAGCAATTACCAGATGCGTGAATTCTTAGAGTTACTTGCCGTTGCTCTGACTCTCTCATCCCATTCGAAAACAACTATGGAGACACAAAATGAACAAGTTAGTGACTGGAGATAGCCATTGAACAAAAGCAGCAATCAACAGGACAGGATCCCTCACCTTATAGAAAAATGGACTCTTTGCAGCCAAAATTGGCGAACTGACATGTATGGTGTTGACCTTGAGAACTGTAGAACAGTCCATGCTCCAGGACGAGTCATTGCTATGCACAGCTTCATCAACTACAAAAGTTTCTAGTGAATCGTCAAAATCCTACCATAGCCATTCAATAATTGGATATTAAAATACAATACACGATGGTGACCCAGAAATAACACAAGCCACAGAAGTAATTGATATACAATGATGATACATAAATGTGGGCTATTTCAAATGTAATAAAGTAGATTCGCATGAGAAATCACCAAAGCAGTATACTAGTAGTAGGAAGAAAACAAAACTTCATATTCTGTACATATGAGTAGGGTAAGCTAATTTAGATTGAAGGCAACAAAATTCATACAACTTTTCCAGTACAGGCAGATTGGAGAGTAACAACAAGAGAGACCAAAAGGATGTACCTCTTCCAACGCCAGAAGGTGACTCATTCATTGCCGCAGCTTCCTCATCTTGATTTTCAAATGCCACATCATCCACTGTATCTGGTATGTTACAGTTTAAGACCTGCTCCTCACTGTGCGCAAGAATGTCCTCAGCTAAGAGCAAAAGAGCAATTATAATCCAAATCAGTAATATGGATATTCTCATGGATTCTAAAAGCAAAAGTACACATTTTCTTTTCTAATAACATAAAAACTAGAGTAAGTAAAATCCGTGTGCTGATGCACGGAATGCCTAAACAGTTAAAACTCAAGATAGTAAAGAAATGTGGCAGGAAAAAAAAAAAAGGAAAGAATAAAAACTAGAAATAGGAAGAATTCTTGTTAAACAGAGACAACATACAAAGGCCGTTACACCATCATATTGTTATTATATGTTAACCAATAAGGTATTACAAAACTCACATGCTATTAGATACCACAAATTCAATAACTGGTGCTAAGTGTTTATATTATTACCCATTTCTTCAAAAAATAGCATCCTCTTAATTAAATTAACCTCGTCAACTGAAATTTAAAAACTTATCAATAATCATGGTCACAGCAAAGTGCCATAAATGTACACTGTAGTAGTCTATCTTACACCACAAACAAAACAACAAGCCAACATAACATGCACAAAAAAGTGTAGCTTTTTGCCTAAATTCAAGAAACTATGCTTTATGGGGTTGTGCATAAACTAACAAACACTTCACATTTTCAAACCCTAAACCCTATCGACCAAAATTAAGCCAAATGCACACGCACCCACTTGAGCACTATTAAGGCACACACACTCCTCATCAGTTCCACTCAAAGATCCATAAAGAAACCATTAAAGACCTCCACTTTCCTTCGATTTCCCTCGTTTTCACAGCAAGCAAACAAAACCTAATTCCATCCAGACCACCCACCACCAACCGAAAATTTTCAAAATTAAATGAATAAGGAGATAACTAAAAAGATAAAAAATTACCACTGTCTCTCTTAATATCGGCCCTCCTTCTCTTTTTGTTACGCTCCCAGTCAGAGGCGGTGGAGCATCCCACACCGTCGGGTTTGGCCTCGGGGGAATCAGGTACGATTTCGATCCTCAAAATCCGATCGGAGAAATTGATATCATTGAACGCAAAGGTGAAGTCCTGGGCCTCCGGGTCGGAGCCCGACTCGCCGAGCCCACTCGGCGATTGGTCCGAGTCCGTAATCGTCCGACGACGGAGAAGATCGACGTTCGGTTTCGTCATGTCCACTGCGAAACCCTATTCCCAATTCAAAATGCCTAAAATTAAACGAGTAAAATAAACAATATAACGTTAACAGGGTTGGTCTTGTCTTTCAATTGAAAAAGAACGCTAACCCGCACGGGCGGTCGTCCGGGTTTTTTTTTCTTTCTAAAAATTAGGTATTATTATTTTTTTTTTTGGTCTGAATTCTAAAAATTAGGTAAGTTTTTTTTTTTTCTTCACGAAAATGAAAAAAATTAAATTAAATTAATCTAATTATTGGGAGGAGAACTCGAACTTAAATAATTTACAAATAATAGGTTTGTCCGCCTCCCTTTAGTCTGTGTAGTTTAAATTATTGCTTATAAAAATAAAATAAAAAATCATTGGATAAAAGAAAGGGAGAATAAAAGTGTGATAACTGTTAGGTTAGGTTAGGGCGCATGTGTATAAAATAGTAATAGTTTTATTCGAATTACAATGTAAGCGTACATAAAATTTCAAGTTAATTTAATTTCTAAATCCACTTAGATGATTGCTATGGACTAAAAAAATGTGGTTGTTAAGTAGGCTTGGAAGAGAAGTGTAAGCACTAGCTGCTACCCTGTTGTCTGGTGACCTTTTTGGGGGAGTCAACCAGTTCATTTTGGTGGGATTGGGTTTGAAACAGACATCCCAATTAAGTTCAGTTGTTTGGGATCCAATCTTAAATACAAATTATTAGGTCTCGGATTTCAAATCCAAGGCTTAGATTGAGTACCATATATCAGATGTAGGGTGCATTTGATTCACGAGAAAATAGGACTTGAAAATAGGAAATCAAATGGTTGGTTACATGCTATAGGTTTGCAATGGCCAACAATTCGAGTGTGTTTACACTGTACCAAAGGAAGGTGTGTATAGTCTGTTAGGTAGGGTGTATAGCACCACCTCCTTCCACTACTTTGATTAGTCGTTTGGCATGGCATTGTTCCTTTTTAGTGTTTAAAATTCAATCCAATCCGTTTAACAGACCGATTTAATATAATTTAATCAAATTTAATTTGGACTAGAACCCTAAATTCTAAAATTGATATGATTAAATCGGATGACGAATTTTCTTGTCTAATTGGTTTTGTATGGAAAGTAGTGGATCTTGTTTGGATAAGACCAGTTCTCCATTGTTAGTCATCTTTTGTTATGTTGCATGGTTTTGGCCCAATGTTGGGTTCCTTCTGTGTTTTTTAGGCCTAATAAGTAGGGCTTACTTCGTTAGCCCATTTCTTTCCAACCTCATATCAAAAAGGAAAATGGAAAATAAAAAGAAGAACAAATTGGATGCCAAAGAAAGTCCTTAGCGGTCAATGCATGACAAAACTAGTGCAAAGTCAAAGAAAGTCTTTTCCTTCCCTTTTCTTTGGTCTGAATAATTTCATGGTTAAATTGCCGCCAAATTACCAGAGCAATCAACGCGTGTCGTTTGTGCTAATAAGTACCACACTAATTGTTCCACCCGCATTCAATGGCCTTAGATTTCTTGTTTCCTTACATTCAATTAGTTGTCAAAAGTAATTGAATAAAATTGAAATGGATTGGATTCTCCTGAACTGCGCTCTTCCATTGTTTATCTGTCTGACAAAAGTCAAGACCAACGTTTGAAGAAAGTTGTTCAAAAAAGTCCTTTCCTTGAGGGACCACTTGGCATGCTGACTATCTTTTGCAGAAACACATCATAATGCACCATAAAACACTCACACACCTTCACAAAAACGACTTTCAGAAAAAGCTAAATTGCAATCCCTTTTATCATAATCCTCAAGTAGTATGCTCAGCTGCTGCACTGTTTAGACCAATCTGGCTTCTGGGTTAAGTCTTGACAGGAACCAAAATGAGCATAAGTTGTTTGTGTTTTTTATTCACCTTTCTTTTGAGTTCATGTTTGTGCTGCTTGTGCAACTCTACAAGTGACTCTTTAGATGGGTTTGCTAGAGATTTGGCCTTCAAGGCACTTTCTGAGCGCCGGGCTCACACTGGTGTTCTTTACAAGGCTATCCTGCCTGCTAACTTTTCTGGCATGGAAGTCTCCGTTGTAAGACTTCGAAGCAAAAGATTGTGGAACAGAGGTGCTGCTAATTTCAGCTGTTTTCAAATCCCATCAAGAACCATGCCTATGCCTCATGTGAAAAGGCTGGCTTTGGTCCATCAAAATTTGGGCAATTGGTCTTCTCACTACTACACTCTTCCAGGTTACTCCCTAGTCTCTTCTGTTGTTGGCTTTATGGTTTATAATGCATCAAATACAAGTTATAAAAGCACCACAAAGCTCAGTCTCAAAACCATGGGGAAGCCTATATTGGTTCAATTCCCCAATCTCACATTGGATCAAGGCACGATCTCCAAGGCAAAGTGTGCATCATTTGCTACCAATGGGACAGTTTCCCTCACTGAAATGAGACACCCTGGTGTATGCTACGCCACAGAGCAAGGTCATTTTTCGATCGTCCTTCGATTAAAGAGAAAAAGAAGCCTTAAGTTTCTGTGGGTTTTAGGGTTCGTGCTTGCATCTCCCATGATGGTTTTGGTGGGTTATGTTGGGATGGCATCTCTGAAGCGTCTAAAGGCGAAGAAGATTCAGGTGATGGAGAAACAAGCTGAGGAGGATTTGGTTCTTGAAAATAGATGGGTTCTGGGTAGTAAAATGCCTTCTGCTGCAGTAACGAGAACTCTGCCGGCCCTTGAGAATGGCTCTCCATGCCATGGTTCATCAGATCACTTGTCTTTTTATGGTTTGGCCAAAAGCAATAACTACTGAGTGAAATTGTAAATTTGTGGAACATGAGGTTTCTTATTGTCGTGAAAGTAAGCATTAAGATTTAAACTGCATTATCTCTGCTTGATATTATTCTCTGATGGTCATTAATGATCCCAGCTTCACATCATTCTCATACGGTTTTCAAATGATTGCATTTATTCGGGATATTCGAAATATTCAAAAGACACTTGAGCAACGTGACAAGTTGAGTGACATGCTACGCCTTAAGTTAATAGGTGCCAGGGGCACTCCCCGGACCAAGTTTTTCTCAAGCGTTACCCAAAAATAGAAAAGAAAAGAAATATCATAATTATATGAAACACCACAAAAACATGCAGTATTGGACTCTCTTCATGAGATGGAGTAATTGGTGTCGCGTCACCTTGAGAGTCGAGGTAGGTAATGAACAAAGTAATTTCATAATCCTTAGATCTTCAAGAACAGTTGACAGAGCCACTAAAGTAAGTCTGTCTGAACTCATAAAACGACTCTCAGACTGCTTCACAGCATTACAAAAAATAACATTAAAATGTCCTCTCTTTCTACAGTAGCCTCAAGGCCCTCAACCTCACAACAATGTTAGCTGACAGCTGAACAAGAAAATTGTGAACCAAAACCACAATGCAAGGCAGCCATGACTGAAAAAGAACGCAAGGAAAATGCAACAGCAAAATCATGGCTCCTGAGGGGGACTAACATTGCCAGTCTTGAGTTAACCAAAGCCCAGTTTCTGAGACAACAAGAATAGATTTCTCAACTAAGCATGCGCCGACCACGATGACACCAAGCCTTTTACCTCTGAGGAAAATTATGCTTAGACTTGTTAAAGTTACTGAGATTAATTTCTTAACTCAAGTTGTTAGAGAAACAGAAGGGGATGCAAACTCATAATTACCACCCAAAAAACCTTAATGAGATAAGAGAAATAGTTAAATCCATTTGAGTATAGCAATTGCAAATCCAGCTATATACCAGTTTCCAGTTCAAGCAGCAGAATTACACATACACAAGAATGTGACTACATGGAACCTGAAGCAAGGTTCTTTTTAGCTTATAAACCAAAAGTAATCTCCATTTTTCGAGTTGAAAAAATAAATCGGATTGACAGAACATTCAACAAAGGAACATCACTGAAATCCAAGGAACAGAATAGTCATTTCAAAATGCAAAAGTGAACAATGGAAAGAAATCATAAGACAACAATTTAGCTCATTGAACTCAAAAGGCATGCATTTCTTATTATCAAGTAAGCAATGATCGCTACTCGCTATGCCTAAGCAAAGAAGCCTCTAAGAGACATACAATTCCAATTCAAGTATCAAAACAACCAGCATCCAATCCAAATCAACAACCAACCAAACTAGTAAACCAGCGCTCAATTGAGAGCACCAACACTAGAACCACTCTTCTGAGCAAGCTTGGTCCACTCGGTATGAAAAGCTCCAGGGCGATCAACCCTCTCATAAGTATGAGCTCCAAACAAGTCCCTCTGCGCCTGAACAAGATTGGCCGGAAGCCTACCCCTCCGATAGGTATCGAAATACGACAAACTGGCACACATTCCGGGAGTGCTAATCCCGGCTGCTACAGCCAACCCAACAACTCTCCTCCACGCAGCTTGCCTCTGCACCATTTCTTTAGCAAAATCAGGATCAACAATCAAGTTGGGCAAGCTTTGATTCCTCTGATAAGCATTCTTAATCCGATCCAAGAACACTGCTCTGATAATACACCCACCTTTCCAAATCCTAGCCAACTCCCCCAAATTCAAACCCCAACCCTTCTCCACACTCTTGGCCCTCAACAAGTTCATCCCTTGAGCATAACTGCAAATCTTAGAAGCATACAAAGCCTGCCTCACATCATCAATCAACCTCTTCTTATCAATCCCACTCGTCACACTCCCAATCTCTTCCTTAAACCCAGCTTGCTTCAAAGCCTCCTCAGCCTTCTCCCTCTCCTCCTTCAACCCACTCAAGTATCTGCAGTCCAAAGAAGCAGCAATGGTGGGCGCAGCTACAGACAGCTCAGCAGCCTGCTGCACAGTCCACTTCCCAGTCCCCTTCATCCCAGTCTTGTCCAAAAGACTATCCACCAAAAACCCATCTGCCAAATCATCCCTAACCTTGAAAATATCAGCCGTTATCTCAATCAAGAAGCTCTCCAGCTCTCCCTTGTTCCACTCTGCAAAAATCTCACCCAATTCCTCATTGCTCAACCCCCCGACGTTCTTCAACACGTCGTACGCCTCCGAAATCAGCTGCATATCGCCGTACTCAATCCCATTATGCACCATCTTCACGAAATTACCAGAACCCCCTTCTCCGATGTAGGTCACGCAGGGACCATCCTCGACCTGGGCGGCAACCTTGTGGAGAATATCCTGGACGTTGGTGTAGGCCTGGTGGGACCCACCGGGCATTAGGCTGGGGCCGTGGCGGGCCCCCTCCTCGCCGCCGGAGACTCCCATCCCGAGGTAGAGAAGTCCCCTGCCGGTGGCCTCAGCAATTCGACGCTCCGTATTCTCGTACCACTCGTTGCCGCCGTCGATGATGGCGTCGCCGGGCTCCATGTGGGCGGAGAGAGCGGCGATAGTTTGATCGACCGGAGCACCAGCCTTGACGAGGATGATGACGGATCTGGGCCGTTGGATGGAGAGCACGAAGTCGCGAGGATTGTACTGACCGAAGAGAGGAAGATTGCCCTCGTTGTGGGCCCGGTCGACGGTCTCGTCGACCTTGGAGGTTGTGCGGTTGTAGACGGAGATGGGGAAGCCTTTCTCGGCGATGTTGAGGGCGAGGTTTTGGCCCATGACGGCGAGGCCTGCGAGGCCGATGCGCGAGAGAGCAGGTGAAGCTTCCATGGCTACTGCTGTACAGAGAGAAAGAGAGAGAGTGAGAGAGGGGGGTTTGGTGAAGAGAGAGATTGGAGGAGGGTGGTCGATGGAGCGGAGAGATATATGGAAGGATAATTTTTTTGTATTTCGGTTTTGGCAAGTGGGTTGGTGAGTTGGGTTGGGGAGGGAACTGACGGACTCGTCGAGGTAGCGAAGGGACAGTGACCTAACCAACAACGAGAGGGTGCCGTGGACGTCGATGACTTTGAGGTTTAACCAAAACGCCACGTTTTGTCCTCTCAAACAACATAATCCGTCTATTAGTTTTTGCTGATTTTTTTTTTTTTTGGCGGTTATAAGGTAGTTAAAAAGAGGGGAAATATACGAAGATGACCACTTTGCACAACTTTCATTCCTAAATGATCACTTTACAAATCTTATTTTGATATAATCACTTGAAGACTTTAAATTACCTAAGTACCCTCCATGAAGGGGTTCCAAAGAAAACGTGATGAGATGGATACAACTAAGTATTTGTTGAAGTTCGGTTTGGTTATGAATAAAATGATTGTTTCTAATGTGACTGTTGCCGATGTTGTCACTCCTCCCCGCCCAAAAAAAGAGATATACAAGGAAATTTCAATGTTTGAATGTGGTTCAGAGAATTGTCATGTTTGAGTTCTATGAGATGCAATGAAGGTCACGGTTTCGCATCAGTTCAGGGATTTCTCCAAGTTCGTTATATACTTTTGAGTTTGAAAATGTCAATTTCATTTGTTTATTTCACTCATATGTTAGATTAAGGTGGACATTATATTAGTAGTGATTTAAACTAGCTTATTTTGGAACTTTGAATTTTCTGTACAACTCCATGATCTTTTTTTGGTCATTGAATTGTTGGTTTCCTAGCTGTCATGGAACTCCAACAATTTGACAACCTTTACATGTCGGTATTTTATTTTTCAATTTCAGGCTTCAAACTTTCAGTCAATCGCAGTGTTTGAAAAATTGGCCTAGGCGTGCACTAGACGGCTAGGCAGGTTGGGTCTTTTTTCGGTGCCGAACCCAAAGTACGAAGTCTCTGCCTTGGCAAACATTGAGAGAGCCCAATTGAATCGAATCAATGCAGCAGCCGAAACCAAAGAAAAAAAAAATCAAAGCTTGAGTTGAGAGAGAGGCTCAACACTGAGTCTTTGAAGCTTGGAAATGAAATGGTTGTGACTCGGACTGCAAGCTTCGTGTTCGTTTCTCTGTCCCTAAACCCTGAATATATTTAAAGGGTATAGCCGCTATACTGTTTTTTAATTTTAAATTTTTTTAAAGTGTATAGTCGTGCGGCTATACTATTAAAATGTACAATTTTGTCATATAATTTTAGGGTTTAAGGCTAAAATACCACTTTAGCCCATTGGGCTAGAGTTATTTCTTCAATTACTTTATTTATACAAGTGACATTAGGGGAATGAGAATTTAATTTATTTTCGATACCACATATTCTAATGATTTCCAGCTATTAGCCCATTGGGCAAGAATACAAAATGAATTTTATTTATAACAAATAATATAGGTTAAATCTATAAATACGACAACAAAAATAGGGATCTGCCAACATTTTGTGAACCAAAGAATGTTGAATTTCATAGTATAAAATTGCTTGTATTGCAATTTACTTCTAAATTGTATCCATAGTTCAAAACCACTGTGCTGATTTAAAAGAAGAAACAAAAACAAGCAATGATTAAATCCTATATTTCTCTTCCCACTCACTATCTCTAGCACCAACAGACCAAAACTATTGACATCGGATTTTATCGAGTAGAACCCATCAATTGCATATTTTGGGGACATGTAACCAATACAAACCAGTCAATCAAAAACTAAGTTAATAAGCAAATCAAATATATTATATGTATGTATATTGGTTGTTTTGTGATTTATACTTACTATGCTGCAACAATTTTCTTGGTTTTTAAGTGCACAAAATAATTCATAAAAATTAATTACTATTTGATAAGTAATTTATGAAACAAATTAAATATCTAAATACTAATTATTTCCAAACAAAAAAAAAAACTAAAAGCTAATTAGTAATTATATTAATTAAATAAGACTAAGATATTACTCAATCAAAATATTACTAAAGAAATAATAATTAAAACATAATTACTAATAAAAGTAATTAAAATAAAGCAAAGATATTATTTAATATAAAAAATAAAAAAAAACC